AAAAAGAAAAGAAAAAAAGTATCTCAGTAATTATATAAATAATTCTTTTTCATACTTGTTAAAACAAAATCTATCCTATTTCATCTTTCCCCTTGTTTTTCCTTTATCTCCCTTTTTTCTTTAACAAGAATCTACTCGTATATATATATACAATATATATATATATATATATATATATATATATGTGTGTGTGTCATCGTAGAGAAAAGTTAGCTTCTACGATTCATGAGGCTTAATTGGCAGCTCGATAAAGAGGCAGTTTTAACGCTTTTAACTTTTCACTTCGACTCCGGGCCCTGTGTTCGTCCTAGCAAGCAAACAAGCAAACAAGCAAGCAAACAAGCAAGCAAGCAAGAGGGAGGTTTGCACGACTTCTCATGTATATTTAAACGAGAAATATCCTGGGGGCTGATGCGTTTCTTCTACGTATATTAACACCACGCATTCATATTAATATATTTGAGTCGCGTCTCATGCTGAGAGAAACAGTCCCCGTTGGTACGAAAAAGAAAGAAAGAAAGAAAGAGAGAGTAAGTGAGTGACTGAGTGTGAGTGAGTGAGTGAGTGAGAAAGAAAGATAAATGAACGGAAAGATAGAGAGAAGTAAACGAAGATAGAGTTAGGTAGGTAGATAGGTAGGTAGCTAGCTAGCTAGCTAGCTAGAGTCAGCTACTTGTTGGAAGTGTAAAACGGAAGTTGAAGTAAGCGAAGTGTGCTCTACTCGGCTTTTTCTCTGCTGGAAGTTAATTGGCGAGTGATAAGCTCGCTCTTTAACGCCATTAACTTTTCATTTTGTCGCCTTCGAGTCGCGACACACACACACACGACGGTTAACACACACACTCATGTTTTATTCAATAATTCGCGTACTTTCTGTGTGTTTGTATATAAGTTTTCTAGCTAACGCACGAATGACATTGCAGGTATTAATACCAACTTATATATATATATATATATATATATTATAGGTATATTTATGCACTCTTGGTACGAATGCATATAAATATGTTTGTTGTGAAAGATCTTACGGTTGTCTCTTTTTACTTATTCGAAAAATGATACCAAGCAAGTGTTGTTTATGATACAGGTAGGTAGGGGGATGAATTGAGGAATAAAATAAAAGAGATACTTATCCTCTCGTGTATATATTTCGTTACGAGTTAACGATTAGAATACCAGCGTTACGCATGCGTGCTCTTATCAGTGTGTGTGTGTGAGTGTGTGCTTAGACACGTTTAATCTTTTACCTTTTTTTATGATTTGCAATACACACCAAGAGATATATTATTTTACTTAGATACATATATGTTACTCTTCGTTTATAAATATAGATCAACATGGTAAATTTATACACTTGTCTTTATGGCGTAATCAATTTATCAACGATATATACCATGACAAGAATATCTTATACTTTATAAATACATATTTATGTATATATATATATGTGTGTCTATGTATGTATTTAAAACATTAGACGGTCATCAAGGTCTCTGATACCGGATGTACCATATGGGGCTACATTGTATAGTAGTCGGCAGGTACGGTGGGATCAAAGAAGCTACCCACCCTATTTAATGAAATGATGTCACCATTCACCCTCCCTAATTTCGATGATTCTTCCATTCCATTCCTATCAACTCCAACGTAACTAATTCGATTATTCAAAAGTGTACTCTCTCTCTCTCTCTCTCTCTTCAATTATTCACTAGACAAATTGTCCTTGCATTTTACTTTCACGTTTGTTTCATCGTTCGTTAACTCTTTTTTTTTTCTAATCATTCATATAATTAATAAAATTATTCGTCACGACAAAAAATCATACTTATTATGCTCGTATAATTTTCTAATTCAATCTTAAGACGTGATAAAATAAAAATTATTATTTTTTTATATATCTAGGGATGGTATATTAACAGACAATCAATTGGTTATCACATATTTACTAATATAACGCTTTATCTATTTTTATTTTCTTTCCTTTTTTTCCCACCGCAAAATCGTTTCTACGATCGAACGGATCGTTCAATGATCGATGAAAGCCATGAAAACCACATCATAAAAAAAGTGTTCCTTGACGGGAGTGGCCTCACTCTCTCTCTTTCTCTTTCCCTTCGAAGGTCTCATGAATTCGTAAATTCGCCGGGTAACTCTGAGCTAGGCTAGTACCCTTCTCTCGACCCACCCTCCACCTCCCACCCTTTTCTTCTCTGACTCTCTTCCCTTCAACCCCCTTCCAGGTAGTCCCAAGCTTCTCACTCTCTCTCTCTCTCTCCCTCTCTTGTTCGGACTACTCGATGTGTTAGCCCATCTCGAAGAGAGAAGCTGCCGAAGAAGTGGGAGAAACTCGTGTCGAGTAACTCCCACCACCCCCTTATCCAGTGGTCCCAGATACCTCCCCGCCTCCAACCCCCTCTTCACAACCGACCCACCCCACTCTAATTCCTTTCGTTCTCCGGACGCACGAGGAGAGAGAGAAAGAGAGAGAGAGAGAGCTGACGCCGTTGCCTCTTCGATTCCAAATCCCCCCTCACCCCCACCTACCTACCCCCTTCCCCATTTCATTCCATTCCATTCCATTCCATCCCTGCTGCTGCTGCTGCTGTTGCCCCTGCTGCTGCCTCACCTTCACCGGTACTACTACTACAACCCCCCTCCCTTCCCGCTAACCCCGCTCAACCTGACTATAATGAAAGATATTAACTACAATTTTATATCGAATTACCGCTGAAACACATTTCAAATTACTTGGGCGTAGCCGCGTCACGTAGCAGGGGCGACGTGGTTGCCCATAAAATGATTGGCTGACTACTTAACTTAACGTTTTAGGATTGGTTGATAAGAAATAGTAGTGGGGTGAAATTGGGGCGTGGCATAGACTCGATATGGCCGCCCAGGATTGAGTGGAGGCACCTTGAAGACACTCAGTCCAGACAGACCAGTCGAGGTAACTCGATGCATACGTACGCCTCGTGATTTTTCGAGATATTATAGTTCGTTGTTAGATTATTATTATTATTATTATTATTCCTAACCCTTTTTCCTATTATTATTATTATTAATAATCTTATTATTATGATTATTATTATTATTAATGTAAATTATTGTTTCACTTGGTCGCAATTATCGAAAATCGTGAAAATCTCTTTCTTTGAAATATTAACGTAAAAGAAAACGAAATAATAATTATAAAGTTTTCTATAGTGATTATATTTAACGTGATTTTGATATAAGACAGAACACCAATCATATTTTCGTGAATATATATATATATATATATATATATGTGAATAAATGAGGAGGACATCGATCAATCAAAATGGACGTATAATAAATCGTGACAGTTCGATGACAGGTGTATATGTGGTTTCTTTTGTTTTAATTTTTGGATTAATAATTTTCGAATGACGAACGGGATTGTATAATGTTGAAAAAACATATAATTTTCACGAGAAAGTGTATTTTTGTTTCGGTCTCGTTAAATAAAACAAATTAAAGTTCGAAAATTCGAAGGAACACTTCACAGTCACAGTGTAAATAATATATTTGTAACAAAACAGTGTATTTTGAAGAAAGTGATAACTTAAAATTTTCATATATTCAACAACAACAACTAAACGAATTTCAATGTGTCAACAAAATTGATTAATTGAAAATTGTTAATTAAGTGAAGACGAGGAGGAGTTGGAGAAATAGATTTGTTTCTTACGTAAAACGAAAAATAGAAAAGAAAAGAAAAGAAGAGAAGGTAGCAGAAAAAAAAAATCATAATTAATAATTGGCCTGGGTTAAGGAAAAGGAGAAGGAAAAGGAAAGCGGAAATGGCCGGCAGGCGCGCAATTCTGCTTGGCAATTATGTTAAGTGGGCAATTAGCAATTAAGCAAGGAGCCGGAGCTGAGCGGCCCCTTAATTGCGTCCGAGACGTGAAGGTGGTGGTCAAACGAACATTGGAGGTGGAGCAAACGTGTTGACGAGAGGGAGGAAGTAAGAAAGGAAGGAAGGAAGGAAGGAAGTGCAAGAGCAAGGTGTAACGAAAGAAAGAAAGAAAAAGAAGAAGAAGAAGTCATTTGAGAACTTCCTAAGTTGGATGTATGATGTCAATCTGATCAATTATTAGAAGAAGATATCTGATTAATTGGATATATAAAAGGGACAAGATTTATATAGAACAATAATCGATACAATAATATTGTGATAAAGAGAAACGTTTTCATGTCATCATTCTATTGTCATCCAATTAAAATCGATAAAGATAAAATTTCTTGACCCTTTATTACCTGTTATGAAAATAATTTATCATTGGATCGGGTATACGAATTATTTTGGAATGTTCCTCGAGATCGTTGGGATCCCGATGGAATTTAAGAACGGTGGGATTACGCGATCGAGACATTGGATAAAGTGAATGGTGATTTTTAAAACAAACAAACAACATTATTTCTAAAACGATATCAAAGGTTTTCTTCTCGAGATAAATTCTCTAACAAGGGAATATTTTTAACGTTATTTCTCGCTTAATATAGATTTAACAATTAAAACAAAGTAACACGGAACGAGAATAAGAAGAAGAAGAAGGAAAAATAAATATAAATATAAATAAATAAAAGTAGGGTGAGAGGTAGAAGTGTGATATTACTTCCTGGCGAAGGAAACATTTCGTATCATCCGGCAAGATTATTTCTCCGAGGTACAGGACGAGTCCTGGCGTGGCGACAGAGGCACCAACGGGTGCCCTTAGCCCGAAGGAACCACCGACGTCCACCGTAATGACGGTCCACCATCATCAGAACCACCACGTGGCGGCTCTCAGTGGCGTCGCCGTCGCCGGGAACGGTTTGAATTTAAGCAGAATGTCATCAGGCCTTGATCCACACAATTTGGATAACATTGTTGATAGAAATGGTGGAGTAGGCATGGATCATTTATCCAATGGTTTAGATGCTAGAAACAAAAGTCACAATAATAATAATAATAATAATAATAATAACAATAACAATAACAACAATCATAATAATAGTTTGCAACGAGGTAATGCGTCTACGACAATGCCACAAAGATCGAGGTTCATGATCACCGATATTCTTGCCAGTGCATCAAGCAAAGTACACCCGTCGGTTCTACCAGCAGCACAGGAACCACCTGGTAGCCCACCATCCACGCCCAGGGATCTAAGCGTTCGGCATCAATCGAAATCGTCCTTGAGCAATAGTAATCTTGATGAGGATAGCGATGCCAGTCACCACGATGGTGCTTCCGTAACTTCCAACGGTAAGAAATAATATTCTTATAGGATATTATCGAGACATTCTTAATTATTGATATCATTAATTATTAAAATAATTTTCTTTTTTTTTTTCTGTTCGTTAATAATATTTCGATAATAAATTTCATTTAGAATTATTCGTCGCATAGAATAGGGAAAAAATATTATATACGAATCTAAAGATAATATCATCGTTGTCGTGGTGATGGTTGTAGTAGTGATGGTGTTGAACGAAATCGAATGTCAAGAAAATTGCTTTGACAAACCAATATATCGTTGAATGAAATAGCCTTTAACGAAGGTGCCAAGGACATTTATGGGGTAGGCGGCGGGGGGAGGTGGGGAGCAGTCCCAACCCAACCGGATGTTCCAGTCGACGACCGTCGCTTTGTATCCAACATCTAAGAAAGAAAGAAAAAGAAAAAAGAAAGCAAAGGAAAGAAACGTTCTTCTCTCGCCTTTTTAAACAATCAGAGATATTTCCCGAGAGATAAAGGCTTCCACCGATCGGCGGGGGGCGGGGGCGGGG